TGGTCACACAATGGCTTTGTTTTGTGATAGTGCTGCGATTTCAGAGATTCATAGAGTGTGCTTAATGTCGTACTAGCTTAAAGTTGTCAACATACTCTCGCGCTTCATTGAAATAACAACTTCATTGTGTTCTAGGGGTGCCAAATGAAACGCGGGTCTTTTAGAGGTCTTTAGCCTGACTCGTTAAAGTCTGAGTTTACATGTCTAAATTGGTTATTGGAACCAGACTTGAACTTGTATAAAAGTTTGTTTAATAAAAAGTCATCAGACTCTAATTCAAAAGTCCGACCTTAGAGCCTCTCACGAAGGCCTAGTATACTAACTTTTGTTTTTATTTTATATTTTTAATACTACTTATAATAGTCTTTTCTCTCTCTCTTCAATCCATTTCACCTCATTTTATTGGTTAAACAAACTTTTTAAATGATTTTGTTATATATTATATTGTTTGGATATACATTGAATTTATGAATCTTTGTGAAATTATTATTGTTGAGATCGTATATTTTGTTTGGATAAAATTTTGTAGTCTTATTTGATTTAACAGGTTAAATCAAGCTTTTATTTTTTATAAATAAGTCAAGTCATAGGTCGATAATTATATTCATAACAGGTAACAGACTAGGCCAAACTGACATATTTAAATACAGGCTTATCCTTTTAAGACCAAAGTTCAGCCCGGATCGGCCCATTAACACCCCTACGTGTGACTATGTATGAAGAATAAATGTGTAATTGTATATGATTTAATGAATGGAATATTGAATCACATATTGTATAAGACAAAATTGTTCATACAACACATAAAAAAGTAAATGAGACCACTAATTTTCTTTCTCTCTCTTTTCTTTAACGGGTCTCATTCATTTTTTTTATAAGACAAATGAGAAACACAATCAATGTGGGACTATATATCTCAATAGACCACACAAACTTGGTTGTGATGGTAACTTTGAATTTCCAATGAGATGACAAATATGTTGCCGAGGGCTAATACGAGACATGCCTCACAATATTGCAACACTCAATGAGAAACACAACTACAAAGGAACACAGTGAAACATCAAAACTCTTATTCATTGGTGCTCTACTGCACGTTAAGCATCGAGCTTAGTTTATGAATTTAAATTAAGGAATTAACATTTTTTTTAACGGGAGGTAAAATTATTTTATGTAATTTCAAAACAATATTCTTTAGGAGTTTTAAAAAAGAAAAATGCAATTGAAGATGAACTTCTTCCTACTGACCCATACGCGCGAATCTTTCTCTTTATTTTATTTTTATTTTTAAAAAAAAGCAGCAGATCTCATAGATATTATATTTGCAGCAGAGGTGAAAGTGGGCCGGGCCGGTTTACAGGAGCCTACGACCTAGCCTATATCAGGTCAAGCTCGGCCAACTATATATAGGCAAATAGAACAAGCTCGAACTTTTAAGTAAGCCTATTTAGAAAGCAAGTGATAGATCTTTTTTTAATGTCGAGCCTATAAACATACAAGCTGCCCTATATCATATTATTTATTTTAACTAAAATAAAATAAAATAATATTATTCATAGTAGTACCAAATGATGATAGCTCAGTTGGTGCATCTGATATGAGTAGGTGGTGGAAGGACCTAAGTTCGATCCCCACCAATACCACCTTTGAGATGGGCATAAGATCTGTACCAATCTCTACAATAGTTTCAGAATCAACATTTAGTGTTAGAGGAAGAGTTATTGATGCTTATCGTTATAGATAAAAGGTATACAAATATTTTTTGTTTCTTAATCTTATTTTTGTTTCTATTCTTTAATCTTGTTTTTTGTTTTCTACATTTACAAATTGTTTGCCATCATATATAAACTTGGAATTGTATTTGTAGAGGAGAGTATATGATGAGAAGTTTTTGACTACTACAAATATCATGATGTGTTTGTAGGATTCATAAAGTTATTTTAATTTACATAGTATGGCTTGGTTTGCTATATCTGATCAAATATATGTTATTTAGTTTGGACATTTTGCTTTTGAAAGTGACTTAAGTTGGCATTTTAGTAGATTGTGATAAGTTGTTATTGTGATTCATGGTTCTGTTAGGACATTGAAATTGTGATTTTTGTTTTAATAACAAAATTTGAGTATTTTGTGAGGTTGATTCATGGTTCTGTTTGTAAGTTAAAAATTAACAGATTAACGAGTCAGGTCAGGCTATTTGTTTTTATATAAATGGGTCAAGACAGACTAACAATTAGACACGTACTATGCTATCGGGTCAGGTCAAATTGGAATTTTTTGGATATGCTTGGACTTTTCAGAATAAAGCTCGGCCCAACCCAACCCACTTTCAACCCTAATTTGCAGGAAGTAGAAGTTCCATCTCGCAACATTACAAACTTAAACCTTTTTTAGTTTAAAAAGGGTTTGTTTTTTTTAAAGTTACTTTAGATAACTTTATCTAATGTTCACCGAAACGACGTCGTTTTGAGGCGGAAATCATGATTTTTTTATAATTTTAATTTATTTCAGAGTTATAATAGTGTTTACCATTCTATTTTTTTTTTATTTTTCATCCCTAAAACGACGTCGTTTCAATGAACATTAGACAAAGTTATCTAAAGTAACATTAGATACTTTTTTTCCTTTAAAAAAAGAGAAAGGATATTTTAATCGAATAGGGATATGGTAGTAATATGGTAATAACATTATTTGGTAGTAACTCTATCTCTATTTTAATAAAGGAAAATCATTTTCTCATATTGTTAGATATTATTTTTTCATTATGTGAGGTATCGAAATCTATGTTATTCTCTTTTTATTTTTTATTTTTTTAACAAGTGATGAACCCTATCACTTATTGTATTTATGGTATGAGAAATGTTAACTATTAGATATGAGAAAAAAGAAATCTTTTAATAAATTTATAACATCAAAAAAGGTAAAAAATTTACAATATCATTTTTTTTAATAAATTCATCTCCTTTTATACGAGAAAGAGTTTTCCTTAAGGTGGTGTTTGGTTTAAGTTATGTATATACTTTTGCATGCATCTGAAGTTGGCAAACTGTGTAAGCCATGTTTGGTAGAGAGATTTGAAATTTTCTCCGGGCATCACATTTGCATAGCATTTGAGAATTGTTTGCAAAAATCACTGTTCAAAAAGACAATTTGGAGATGGTATTTATGGTTGACTGGCTAAATGGGTAAGAAGGGGAAGCAGATGCAGACTAAAATGCCTTCATCTAACCTAACTTGACAGTCGGTCAGCGCAAACTCTTGTTTTAATATCAAAATAAAGCTCCAAAAATGGCACTATCTCTCACGCAAAGATGGTTGAAATGGCAACGATGGCTACCATAAGGACCCCAGATTAGTGGTGGACCCAGGAAACTCTTTTTATGTCCACACATTTAGTGGCGGGGGGCTGCCCCCGAATTTTTTGTTTGTTTGTAAAAAAAAATTTAAATCAACGCTTGAACCCACTCATAATCTAGTTGCTTCCATAACAAGCTGCAGACAATAGTTTGACCAATTATTTCCCTCCCTAAATCTTACCAATCCTCCAAAACAAATATGAGAATATACTTCAGTATATCCATACATCATCATTCTATTTTATAGTGGTGAATAAAAAAGTCAATATTACCTGTATAGAAGGCAAGCAAAATCACAGTGAAGGCCTCGTCTCTAGATATTAACTTATTTGAGAATGTTAGACATGCAATCAATCATCTTTTTTTATAAAAATGAAAAAGGAAACAAAAGACAAAGAGAGCGTGAGAATATGTACGTGACAGGGAGGAAGAATAAGTTTTCTCTCTAAACAATTTGCGTTGCTAACTAATATAAGAATAAATATCTTTTTTGGTCTCTAAAAAAAATTCGGTCCCCACTTTAGTCCATTATAAACTGGTCCCTATGAAATTCAAAGTGGATCCACTTTGGTCTTTTTGTGGTACTGATGTAGGTCTTTTTTGAATTTGTGAGGAATTAAGATTTTAATTAAATTGATCCACTTTAAATTTTTTAGGGATCTCGAGATTAATTTTTTTTTGTAAAGGACTAAAATGGGGACCATATTTTTTGTTAAGGACTTAAAAGAGTATTTACTCTTAATATATATATATATATATATATATTAAACCAAGAGACAAATAAGAACCTAAAAAAAAACTAAAATCAAAAAGTTTATGACCGCAAGTGGGTCCGCCAGTGCCCCAGATAGAGAAGAAACAACAGCAGAAGAAGGAGCAGGTGCAGGACCTTCGGATACAACATTGATGACAAGCTTCATTTGATGATCTGGTTTGCAACGCCACAAGCGTACTATTTTTTCCCTTCGAGTTTCAGTTGAATAACATCGTTTTCGGTTGAAAGTGAATTGTTTGATGGAGGGAAGCTGCAGTTCTGGAATTGTGTAGCGCTCAATTTGAACACATTGTGTCTTGTGTTGTTATAATTGAATACTGCAACATTAATGGATCAAAGAGAAAGAGTTCATCTTAGACTTCAGGTTCTATATACCCAAATAATTAATTCAGATAAAAACTTGTTTATTTGACGTTGGTAGAAATGTCCTAATTCACGTTCAAAAAGTAAAAAAAAAAAAAAAAAAAAAGTATTTTATTATTTTTAATCAATTTTTTCATCAATATTTTACCTTCAACCAAGCGTACACTCAGAAAATTTAATCAAATTTCTCCGGTAATATTTCAACGTACCAAACAATTTTTTTCAAATTTTCCTACTAAAATCACTTTCTAACAATATTTCTAATAATTGTATTTTTCTGATGAATTTTTTTTTTCTCTTAAACCAAACACCCCTTAATTTAACTATAATAATTACCATATCGCAAAAGTTTGAGCTAAATTCCCCTTATTTTGATCTCATTCCTAAAATCCAAAAGAAATTTGCCCATGTGCTTCTCATCTATTTGAAAAAGAAAAAAGAAAAAGAAAAAGCTTCCAGTTCTCTCTCTCTCTGCGTAAACGCACTTTCTCTCTCTAGTCACTACATAAAAAACACTGCAGAACCCCAACTACACACAACACACACAGCATAGGGCTCCGTTCCCAATCTCTCTCATTCTCAATGCGTCATTGGATCTGAGTTCCAACACCTCAAAACTGTGAACTAAGATCCGATTCTTGACCCGATCCATATGGGAATGCGAATGCCTCATAAGCCATGACCAAAGCCGTCGTAAAGAACCACGAACAAAACGACGACGACGAACATTATTGTTTCTACGACTCCAACGACCGCTTACTCTCCTCCTCCTCCTGTTCCACCTCCACCTCCGACGACGGCAACACCACTCCCAAAAACGACACCGACAACATAAAAAACGACACCTCCAATCCAAACTCTCCTACTCATGTCCTGCTCCAATTCCCCTTCGCCACCATGTGCAAGTACGATGTATGGATCTCCGAACCCTCCTCTGTCTCCGAACGCCGCACCCGCCTCCTCCACCAGTTCGGCCTCGCCGAACCGCCTTCCGCCTTCGCAATCGCCGGATCTGTCTCTTCTCATCACCACCACCTGAGGCGCACCGACACTTCTGGTTGCGCCTCCGTTGCGGCCGGGATATCCCGATCGAAATACGACGGCGCGGCGCATCGCGGCGATCATTGTTACAAGTCTTGCACATGTTGTGGTCCTTGTTTTTGTGGGTCTTCGATTCTTCTTTCTATTCGTTCGGTCGAACCGGAGAGTGAGACCGGTTCGCTTGTAAATAACGGTGTCAATGGCAATGGTGGGTCCGTAATTGTTGCGGGTTCTACTTCCCTGAATAAGCCACCTTCGGGGAAAATTTGCAAAAGGGTGTACGGAAATGGTGGAATTGGAGCTGATTCAGTGGAGGAGGGTTTGGACAGGGTCGATGAACAAGCGTGCACGATAAGAGATCTGGATAATGGGAAGGAGTTTGTGGTGAAGGAGGTTAGGGAAGACGGTATGTGGAACAAGCTCAAGGAAGTGGGAACTGGGAAGCATTTGACTATGGAGGAATTTGAGATGACCGTAGGGCACTCCCCAATTGTTAAAGAGCTAATGCGGAGGCAGAATGTGGAGAAGGGTAATGGGGATGGTGTTGATTTGAATGTGAATGGCGGTGTTGGTGGTGGTGGTTGTGGTGATGGTGATGGTTGCAAGGTGAAGAAGAGAGGGAGTTGGTTAAAGAGTATAAAGAGTGTTGCAAGTGTCATGGCAGGTCATAAGGAGAGGCGGAGTGGCGATGAGAGGGATACCTCATCCTTGGAGAAGGGTGGCCGGAGGTCGAGCTCTGCCACAGATGATAGCCAGGATGGTTCATTTCATGGGCCTGAGAGAGTGAGGGTTAGGCAATATGGGAAGTCATGTAAAGAGCTTACAGGGCTTTATAAGAGCCAGGAGATACAGGCTCATGATGGATCCATTTGGAGCATTAAGTTTAGCTTGGATGGGAAGTATCTTGCTAGTGCAGGTGAGGATTGTGTTATCCATGTTTGGCAGGTAGTGGAGTCGGAGAGGAAGGGTGAGCTGCTGCTGATGGAGAAACCAGAAGATGGGAATATGAATATGTTGTTTGTTGTGAATGGATCTTCGGAACCGGCTCTGCTGTCCCCTGGCATGGACAATAATCCAGAGAAGAAAAGGGGGAGATCGTCTGTTAGCAGAAAGTCATTGAGCTTGGACCAATTATTGGTGCCGGAAACTGTGTTTGCACTCACTGAAAAACCCTTTTGCTCCTTTAAGGGTCATCTCCATGATGTGCTTGACCTATCTTGGTCCAAGTCTCAGGTTAGCTACTATTTTGAAGATAGGTGTTATACTGTAATTCGACTGGCGTGTTCAATGTTTGAATATACTTGTAAAGTTTATTATTATCCACTCTTACAGTGGCATTACTTGTGTTCAATACACTCATTAAAATTGTTATTAATTTTTCTATATTGTCCCGATAAAAGATAAATGAACTTACAATAAACAGCTGGAGTTTTATACTTATCTGATAGCATAAAGATTCAGTATTCATTATAAGTGATTAAAATATGACTGTTTCGGAGAGTAGCATCTATGAGGAGAAGATGACAGAAATATGCCTAAGATGTGTTGGGCATGTGAGAAAAAGACTAATGGAGGCCCTAGTGAGAAAAGTAGATCTAATGGAACATAGTTTGATTATAAGGGGTGTAGTAACGCCTACGAAAACATTAGCAACCATTAAAAAAGGTATTGCTCTAAATGATGGAGCACAATGGCATCCATTGACCCATTTAGCTGTTCTCAGCTGGTGGGTTAAGGCTTGGTTGTTAATAGATCTATAATCTTATCTTCATTTGGCTGAATAGGTATCGTGTGACAAAATATGGATTTTAAGTTGCACTAGAATATAATATTTACTGTTAAAACTTTCTGTTTTGTTGAATTTGTAGTTAATGCAATAAAGGTTTTGTAATTTGAATGGCTGAGACTATTTTTGTTTAGTTTGTTCTGGTTATTATATCAGGGAAGATATTTTTGCACGAGCTACTAGATCACTGGTAATTTTGCAACTATTAAAGACTTAGGATTACTTATCGTAGTCATAATATCAAAATATGAAATGTCGGAACATGTAGATTAAGTTCTGTCTCTGGGAGAAGATTTCTGGATCTCCCCCCCCCCCTACTTGTATATTGATATTGAATTTACAATTTATATTTTTGTTTTTATTTTAATAGATCTACAATGATTTATTTTTCTAGAGTTGCATTGTTATTTTAGGCCTTCTTTAGAGAGGTAACTTGTAGAGAGGTATCTGTTGACGTAGTTATCAAATGCTGGTAGCGGCCACAAGTAGCTGACCCCTGAAAACGCTATAGCACTAGCAGATAGCAGTAGCATGCAATAGCAAAATCCTACGCACATAATTAAAACTTTAAACTAAAGACAAATAAACCGTGTTATAGAATCCAAAGATGCTATGAATCGGGTCATTATTTTATTGTATCTAAACCCAAGGAACCCACCCAAAATAAACCTCTCTTGCATATTAAACACTGTCAAAGAACCAACCCAAAATGTTTGGAATTGAGAGAAGCTGGTTGCCAAAAATGGAAGATGGTATTGGTCGGTGGTGCTACTGGTCGCAGAGAGACGACAGAGAAAGGGAGGTTTAGGTTGACACTAGAGCGAGTGTGGGGTTCAAAATAAAAATTGGGTTATGATACGAATCTTGGGAGAACCTCACCTCAAAAGCTAGCTTGTAAGGTAGGAGAGCCCAAAGTCTATATAAACCCCACACCAGAACCTTATGTTTCCAATGTGGGATTCCAAGTCCTATACCTTGCAACCAGATCGTAATATCCCACCATGCTCTGCATCCCTGGTGCCCATGCGGCCCGGCTTGGCACTAGTTTGTTACTAGCTCTGGGTGATCACTGCAATGCCATCATCATCAATCGTGCTGCTCGATTGCAACTGAGAGACATGGTGGAAGCTCTAACACCATTTGATACAAACCTTGGGGAAACCTCACCTCAAAAGCTAGCTTGTAAGGTAGGAGAGCCCAAAGTCCATATAAACTCTACATCAAAACCTTATGTTTCCAATGTGGGACTCTGATAGAGCTCAATTACGTAAAGCCCAAATGAGCAAGGTGTATGTGAGAGATAAAAATAGGAAACGTTGGGATGCATCCACTTAAGCTGTTAGTGATGAGTCAGCTATTCTGTTACAAGGCACACACGATGCAAGTTAGTTATTGTTGGGAGATAAGTAGGCGTGGGCTAGGTGTGAGGAAGGCACCTTGGAGGTCACTAGTAAAAGAGGAATTCTGGGAGATTCACTGGGCATCTCGAAGGTCCCTGAGCTGTTGCATTTTATTGTTATTTTCTTTTTATGAAACTCTGAGCCATAGCAGTACTATGGAGAAATTTTGTAAAGTTTTCTGAGTTTATTGAGAAATATTAATATAGAAGTCTTATTCAATTTAAATTGTGTTTCTTCTATCTCAATTCGTATCAGACTCCAAGCCTCATACCTTGCAACCGGATCGTAACGGGTTAAAAGGCTATTTAACCCCTAAAATATTATTGTTGGCACTTTAAATCGAGGGTAAAACTAGAATCTTATGCCCCTTTGCTGTAGCGCTGCGATTGGCCACAATGCTACCATGGACCATTGCGTGGTGTAGCGTCGAGTTGCAGCACCAGCTGCAATGTGATACAGTAGCGCAATAGCATTTAATTGTGGCACTATTGATAACTAGATTTGTTGATGATTGTTTTTTATAGTGAAACATTCTATGGATATATCCAAATTTTCTAGAAATTACAATAGTAAAAATAGATGTAGAGATAGTGGCTATATGGTCAAAGAACAAAACTTTGCTGCATAAAAGACACAAAGAATATTCAGGTCAGGAACTTGCTTAAGGTGCCTTTAGCTGTTCCATTTATGTTGCTTTAAGCTTAACATCTAGAATGATCCTCTTATCTCTCATTTAACATGATCAGGTCATATTACATGACCTAAATAGCTATAGACGAATCAATGGTTATTCTTTCGTCACTCTTTATTCTAATGCGTTTTCTCTATCATCTATTGTTGTTGTGGATTTATCTTGACTGAGATCATCCCCAATAACCTAGTCATGTTGAATAAGACATAAGATGATCTATTCCCCTTAACATTAGTTCAATTTAGGGAAAAGTTCATCAATGCCTATGTGGTTTGTTTCAGAATTATCTATGCCCCTGTGATTTTTTTTTTTATCACATATGCCCCTGTGCTTTGTAAAAAATAAAAAACAAGAGGGGCATATGTGATAAAAAGCATATCCTTTTACAAACCACAGAGGCATATGTGATAAAAAAAAATCATAAGGACATAAGTGATTCTAGAGTAAACCACAGGGGCATTGGTGAACTTTTCCCTTCAATAATTTATTACTACTCCCTATGTAAGTTTTAGGGGGTGTATGCTAAACTTCAAAAACCGGATAACTAGGTACACTATGCTGGGTTCAAAATCCCGTGTTTACTCAAATTTTAAAAAACATTTCTTATTTGTTAAAACTGATTCAGATAAAATAAGATAGTAAGTTTCCGTCTATTTGACCTTATATTTTTTCAAATGAAAAATTGCTGCATTTCTCCCCTTCTCTATCTTTCTAACTTATTTGAAAATTTAAAAATGAATTGTTTACATCTACAAAATATTTTATTGTTGGCCTAGTTCAAAACCTAATTTTAAGTATTTTCAAATTTCACATAATTTTAAATCATAGTAATTAGAATCACAGAATATATACAATATTGCATCTGGGTATTCTCTGCTGTAGAAGTCAGAACAGCAATTGAAACACTCATGAAAGAACTAAACATTGATTGTACTTGGTATCAGCGGTGCCAAGGCAGGAGTTGAGGACTTTTCCCCTCAGTATGAGTGAATTTGCCACAATGCACAGGAACCTCACTGAGGAATTGCTGTCATCGAGCTTGCTGCTCGCAGTCCACACCCTTTATCATCTTGGAGGAACTGCCGTTAGGCTTGAGCAGAGAAGAAGTTGAGTGACCAAGCTTTGAAGTATGATCTGTGAGTGAGGAGCAATAAAATTTTGAGATATTTGAAAAAAATTGTCTCAAAAGTAATTTGAAATTCCTCATATTTTGCCTTAAAATCCTTGCATAATATTCCCAGAATTTAGAAATTCAAACAAGCGTTTATCGAAATGAAGCAATCCTTGCTAAAGGATTTTAAATTATGGATAAAAAGGAATTACACATTATACATTATTTGTCCAAATTTCTAAATATTATTAGACAAATTAAAGAAAATTTGAAGCTTGTTCTAATTTATATTAATTTTTGAAGCCATTTTGAATTTAAACAGTTTTTCATCGGTTTTTTAATTTGCCTAATTCCCCACATTGTTATAACACTTTACATCCATATCGAAGTCAAACTTTATGGATATAGTAACACTACTGGGTTTGAGCATCTTTTCGAGTGAGAGATGCGAAAAATCAACTTTAGAGACAGATATTATTGCAAGCTTAGTAGATGTCTTTGAAAAGCTCACATGGGGGTTCATCTGTTTATTGATTTAGAGACTTTCTTGATTGTTGTCTTTTTGTATGATCTTTAAAATTGAAATATTTGTCATGCATATGTGCAGTACTGCAGTGCGTTTTAGAAATGTAAACTAAATCATGTATGCACTTGGATCATCTTAAATATTCTTTCCTCCGTTTTGCTCAGCACTTGCTCTCATCTTCGATGGACAAAACAGTGCGGCTGTGGCATTTGTCTCGCAAGTCTTGTTTGAAAATTTTTTCACACGGTGACTATGGTGAGTAAATGCAGCTATTACATCTTGCAATGCTCTCATCTTTGCTTTTCCCTATTGAGTAGATTTCATGTTGTCCATTCCTTCAGGGTCAATAATAATATTGAATAAATGGCGGAGCACTAACGTACTTTTATGCATTGGTGTGAGAAGTTTGTGACTTTCTTCTGCCCCTTGCGCAAGTAAAATTTGAATTAGATTTCTAGTTTGACCCATCCTTATCCAATCTAATTCAAGACCCTGTCAGCCCTTCTGTGAGGATCAGGGCCAACTACATTAATGTCCACAGGCATAGTTTTATCAATAATTGTTGTTGCTGCGTATAGGACTGATTATATAAGAGTTCTTTCACAGTTATTGAGTGGTTAGTTAAATTTACAATGAAAGCAATTCTGCTCTGAACCTATCCCCCCCGCCCCCCCTCTTTCTCTCTCTTATTTCCTTTTTCCCCCCTTGCTATTTATGCCTTTTAATTCAATTTGTTTTCTGTTTGGCACAGTAACGTGCATACAGTTTAATCCTGTTGATGATAGATACTTCATTAGTGGATCTTTGGATGCTAAGGTTCGCATATGGAGCATTCCTGATCGACAAGTTGTTGATTGGACTGATCTGCATGAGATGGTCACTGCTGCTTGTTATACGCCTGATGGTCAGGTTGGTTCTACATTGATGTGCATCTTTTTCAACATTAACAAGTTTTGATTTTTAAGTTCCAGCTCAATGAAATGTTCTGGTTTCTGCAGGGCGCACTAGTTGGCTCATATAAGGGTAGCTGCCATTTATATAATACATCTGGTATTGTCAGTGAGACTATTCAACTATATATATAATTAATACTCTATTCTGATGATTGCGGGCTACTGATTATTATTAATTTTATTATTATTAATATTTTTTTTTTCTTTCAGAAAATAAGTTTCAACAGAAAAGTAAGATAAATTTGCAGAACAGGAAAAAAAAATCAAATCACAAGAAAATTACTGGCTTCCAGGTATTTAATGGATTAACTACTGGGCTTATGAGATGTTCCCTGTCCAAAGGTTAAAAAGGAAAAAAAAAAATAATGGCAAAAATCGATGGCTTACAACTGCTGTAGATTTGCTTTGAATAGTAAAATTGCTTATGCTTGTTTTCCTACTGACTTTTATGAACAGTTTGTCCCAGGAAGTTCTTCAGAAGTACTCGTCACATCTTCTGATTCACGGATTCGGGTTGTTGAAGGTGTTAATCTGGCTCATAAGTTTAAAGGTAGGTAAAAATTAGTTATATATCAACTCAATTTTATTGAAGATACCATAATACAGTAATACACCATTCTGTAAACTTTCATCCGAATAAGGTTTTTTTTTGGCCTAGAATTTTTTTGGCCAAGAGAAAAGAAGGGGGGTGGGGTATTTGTCTTTATTTGTGGGCCCTATGTATTTTCTGCTAAGTTCTTATATTTTTTTTAAATTGTGAATGTCAAATGTTCTAGGGATGGGGCGCTTTGGAGAATTTTTTTATATAACTATATCTACGTATACTATTTATGAAAAAGGATTAATCTATTGTTTCTCTTGATGGAGACAAGAATCTGTTACTATGCTCCTAATTCTTGTGGATTTATCGATCATGCCAATGCATTTGACCAAATTCAATGCTTATTGAATTCATTTTTCAAAAGATATTCCAGATTAATATGGTTATTTTGCATGTTGGTTGTATGGCACAAGTGCTAGCGTAGAGGTCTTGCATGGCAAACGTACGGGACTTAAAGAGTTCCTTAATGTCTGGTACGTTTATCGTGCAAGACTTCTATGCTATCACTAAGTCTTGCATAGTTGACATGCGAGACTTATCCCTTGTGGTCAACATGCGAGTTTGATCTCATTAGTTTGGATAAATGTTTCAAAATTGAATTAAGTATTTTTTTTTCTTCTAAAAGACCATGGTACAGTCCAAAAGCCATTTACATTACTCTATATTGACATGAAATTTACATTACTTGATTATAACTTTCCATCAATGTGTATATAATCATTGTTAGGTACCGTATAAGAATTTTTACTATTGCCAACGATAAAATTGTTCTTGAGGCGATAGTTCTCTGAAACATGTCAGAACGTCTCCTGACAAAAATCATGAGAAATGACCAAAAAGTGTGTGTCCATATTTATATGTACACTTTTTGTTTTGGAATAGAAATCATTTTTGTTATTTTAGTAAATTGCTGAACCCAACCGGTTTTGGATAATATGATGTTGATGATGATGATTGTAGGGACAGAAAGACACCAAACTTTGAATGATATGAGAAAAAAAAGTTATGTTCTTTGTAGTTCTAATTCTTTTGATGGAATGGGAATAGGTCTCCAGTTTTGCTATGTTCTTTGCTATTTGCATTTTTTTTCTTTTCCATTGTGGTTCCCATTGCAGAGTAAAATGATACAAGTTTTATGCAGGATTTCGAAATGCAAATAGCCAAATTTCAGCCTGCCTCGCAGCAGATGGTAAATATGTTGTCTCAGCAAGTGAGGATTCTTATGTATACATCTGGAAAAATGAAGCTGATTGCAGACCTAACAGGACCAAAGGTGTCACTGTCACAAGTTCATATGAGTATTTTCACTGTAAAGATGTGTCAATGGCCATTCCTTGGCCTGGTATGGATGATGCATGGGAGATGCATAATGCATTTTCAGGAGAACAAACTGAGCTTGATGATGAGGTCTCATCAGCCAATCATCCTCCTACTCCCGTAGAGGAGAATTTTGGCACTGAGGGTTCACAATCTGCTTTAGGTTGCAACAATAGTCAACTTCATGGAACTATTGCAAGTGCAACTGATAGTTATTTTATTGATAGAATTTCTGCAACATGGCCAGAGGAAAAAAAATTTACTGCAAGAAACCGAAGCACTCGTGTCAGTGTGGATTTATCAAATGGGGTGTATCAGAATATGTCAGCCTGGGGTATGGTGATTTTAACTTGCGGCCTTAAAGGGGAAATTAAAACTTTCCAAAATTTTGGATTGCCACTTGGTATATAAGAGATTATCGAAATACATGCCAATGAGCATGGGAGAATGAGTTGAATATATCAGCTCAGTAGAAGATAAAGGGGGATGCAATTGGGGGTGGTTGGACTTCATTTTCTTCCTTAGTTGGTGAAAATTTGTACAGAGAGATGTTGTGTGAGATACTAATAGGGATTGTTCCATTTTTATCCTTATTCTTTTGCTTGTCGGATGAAGAGATTGGTTGCCATTCTGATCAGGCATTTGAGGGGCACAAAAAAGAATTCAAATGAAAAACAGAAACTGTAAACAAAAAAGAAAAGAAAAAGGTACACCGGGAATTTGGAAATCGATGGGTTTATGTAATGGGGAAATGTAGATTAATGAGAATGGGAAAAGCTTGTTGGATTACAAATGATGATTCTTTTACATTTGTTAATATAGTCTTGTTCTGTAATTCATTCTCTTACGTTGGAATTGTTTACAATAAAACAGCATAGCTACAAGTGCTAGTTTGACTAGGGCCTTGTTCATTCTACAAAGTTAACAGTTAACGACTTCAGAGGGCTATTGATAAGATAGATGAAAACAGGAATCTAATATATAATTTCATTTTCCTTGCTGAACGGGCTCAGTTTCCTATGCGATTGATCGTGCGAGTATGGAAATATTTAATATAGTTCAGGATCACTGAATCTTTTGGTGCATTCTCTTACATCATTTTTTTTTTTTCTCTTTTTATCTCTGTTATTTTCTCTCTTTTTCAATTTTACCCTTCTATTTACACTAAGGGATCACCTAAAACATGATAATCTCGGTTCACAATAAATAATCTCCTTCAGTATGCTGTTTAATCTGGTGTCCTCTTTGCCGATAAATGATTCAAAATTTTATGATTAGTGCGTTAGGGGCATCAACACAGTGATGCTGAAAAATTGTCTAGCTTGGATTCGAAGTATGGCACATTCACTTAGTACCCGAAATTCCCAATGCAAAAATTCAAAAAATATAGGAAAATCTTACATATCAACGCAAATATGCTGGCATAACAAATGCCTAGACTGTTAAATTTTGTGTATGCTTCCTGCAATTGAGGGTTCTTCAGTTCACTGATCACAACTCATTTGGACTATTCAATTGATAAAGTTCATGTTTAGTAGAGTTGACATCACTTGATTGTTCAATTCTTTGGGAATTACAAGAAAATTACTAGTCATGGTCATAAATAGTACCAAGTGCAGCTTCCGAGGCTTAACCCAAGACCAACTTTGATGTTGCTTATGGTCAGGCCCAAACTCACTAAAGCCCTTTATGCTAATTGGTTTTTGACATGGCTAGGCCCTTGAACACCACTTCAACAAGCACGGACAGCGACAGGATTTTCCATAATTACTTGTATCTTTGCCAACATATGAGCATATACATCCTTACTATCTACGAAGCTGACAAAAGAAGGCTTGTCTTTCTTACCTGCTACTCGAAATGTACCTCCATTCCCCAATCCCTTTCAGCACTGATACTCCCATCATCTCATACCTGCTATTGGGGTCTGCAATGGATCAAAATATCCCTTCTTTCCTAACTTCAAGAACAAAGTAAATAAAAATATCATAAGAAATCTAAAACTTAGAACCTCATTGGTTGGTTTGAAGTGACCTAGCAGGTGCACATGCTGCAAACTATCTTCTTATCCTTTCATATCCTAAGAAACACTACATTATATAAATTCGTTACAAATACACACTTTTGATACACATCTGACATTCCCACTTCAACCAACTAGCTTAGCTTGCTAAGTTAAATATTGTAAAACAAAAGACCCAATTTACAATTTTTTTCCTTCCCCAAGTTTCAATGGCTCTCCAGGCTGCTTCCTTGGTTCCTGCATCTTTCTGCATTCCTAAAGAGGTTTTCTTCAAAATTCTCACATGAACACATCTTCTTCATGTCTTCTTTTCTGCTTCTTCTGATACACTTTTCAAAGAGAGAAACTGAATTAAAGTTATGGTATATATGCCTTTATGTGTTTGCAGGGAAAGTCTAGTGTATCTCTCAGGGGAACCACTCTTTTTGGCCTTTCATTGTCAGATACTCTGAAAACTGACTTCAGCTCTTCGGCATTGACATGCAAGGTAACTGCAGCATATATATATATAGAGAGAGAGAAATTTCTGCACTGCAAATAAGTTATCTGCATTTACTCTCAAAACGACGTCGTTTTGGGATTGAAATATTAAAAAATTATAATTTTAAAGACTATAATAATCCTTAAATAAATTAAAATTACAAAAACACCATGATTTCTGCCCCAAAACGACGTCGTATTGGGCTTACTGCAGATAACTTATCTGCATTAACTGCAGAAAAAAACAAACCCATATATACGGGGTTTACATTTCTGCAGCTGTTGTACATGCAGTAATCAAATACTTACTATATATATATATATATATATATATATATATATATATATATATAAATATACGTGAAAGTATTAAATGCGGGGAATCATAACTATACAAGATGAACACATTAAATGTGGGAAATCATAACCATACATATGTCGTTGTTGTATGTAAAGCGATTGAGAAATGATTTTACCTATATATATATATCTTATTCCCATTTTTCCATTAAATAGTATCTACTTATTTAAGAGGATAATTAATTCCATTATGATATTTGACTTGTTTGCATTCTTTTTATTTGGAACTTTGCATGATGTGAGGGCTTCTCATGTATAATACTAGTACTTGGTCAAAATGCAAGCATAATCTAATTTGTTTATTTTCCCCTCTCAATCAGAGGGAATTCAAACAAAAAGTTGGTTTTGTAAGGGCCCAGACAATGGCTACTACAACCCCAGCAGTGATGAAGGCAGCACCAGGAGGCAAGAAAACTTTGAGGAAGGGCAATGCTGTGATAACTGGGGCTTCCTCTGGATTGGGCCTGGCCACTGCTAAGGCTTTGGCCGAGACAGGAAAATGGCATGTAATAATGGCTTGTAGGGATTTCCTCAAAGCTGAAAGAGCTGCAAAATCTGCTGGCATTGCTAAGGAAAACTACACCATTATCCATTTAGACCTTGCCTCTCTTGACAGTGTCCATCAATTTGTAGATAACTTCAGGCGATCAGGGATGCCACTGGATGTGCTGGTTTGCAATGCTGCAGTTTACTACCCTACTGCTAAGGAACCTACATTCACTGCTGAAGGCTTTGAACTCAGTGTTGGCACAAACCATTTGGGACATTTTCTCCTTTCACGCCTATTGCTTGAGGACTTGACCAAATCTGATTACCCATCAAAACGGATGATCATTGTTGGCTCAATCACAGGTCTAACTCATTAGCATCTTTATTTTGAATCCCAATTTTATCACGGGGAAAGATTTGTTTACAAATTTTGTTTACAAATTTTAGCAAATTATACTATGTACTCCCGGAAGTACATAGTGTAACCTAGTATACTTTCGGGAGTACATAGTGTAGTTTGTAAACAAAAAATTTGTAAATATAACCCTCCTTTTTATTCATAGGAAGTATCAACTTACACTTATCTAAGAATAATAATTCTTACGTCGGTATAAGAATAACAATTCTTACACCCAAGGTTAGTTGTTGATATCACTTACATCTAACAGCTCATATGGTAAATAAATAAGAGCCTCCGGATGCAAGTGAGATCATCGATTAAGATTGATGTAAATTTAGTCCTTAAGTTGGTCTTTCGCAAATATATTTGCGAAGGCGAATATTGGCACAAAGATTGGTGTTGTTGCTATATAACCTAGAGGTCATAGGTTTGATTCAAGTAATCAGTCTCTTGCAAATGCAAGGTAAGGCTCTTTACATAGATCCCTTATATGGACCTGCTCATAGCGGAAACTTTATAGCACCAAGCTCTATTGTTTAATTTTTGGGCTGCATATTGGTGCTGATGATTGTATGCATTAAACAGGAAACACCAACACATTGGCTGGAAATGTGCCACCCAAGGCTAACCTTGGTGACTTGAGGGGACTAGCTGGAGGTTTGACTGGGCTAAACACTTCATCCATGATAGATGGTGGAGACTTTGATGGTGCCAAGGCATACAAGGACAGCAAAGTCTGCAACATGCTGATCATGCAAGAATTTCACAGAAGATACCATGAGGAAACTGGAATCACATTTGCTTCCCTATACCCGGGTTGCATTGCCACAACAGGCTTGTTTAGAGAGCACATTCCCTTGTTCAGACTCCTATTCCCTCCATTCCAAAAGTACATAACCAAAGGCTTTGTCTCAGAAGAGGAATCAGGAAAGAGACTTGCACAGGTAATAATAGCAATGAGACACTTTTGAGATGATCATAAAATTTGTATGCTAAATGTGTTTGTTTTTTTAAGAATCCTTATTTCTCTTGTATGAAATGTTTGGTTCTTATATAGGTTGTAAGTGATCCGAGCCTAACAAAATCAGGAGTTTACTGGAGCTGGAACAAGGACTCTGCTTCATTTGAAAACCAGATGTCTCAGGAGGCTAGTGATGCAGATAAGGCTCGCAAGGTCTGGGAGATTAGTGAAAAACTTGTTGGTTTGGCCTAAGTGGTGCTTCCAACATCCATGTTCATTCATGGGGCATTAGCGCCATTGCTAGGAGTTAAATAACATCTCAGAAAATTGAAAAAAAAAACCCTTTTCTGAAGAGTTTGTTACATGCTTTGCTAGCTGCTACCTCCTTTTTTTTTTTACCTTGATGGCTAGTGTCAATGAATCAATCAAACGTGCGGCGAAGTGTCATTGCCAATTTTGTGTCAACATCTGGACTTTCTTCTCTTCATTTATTTTTGTTAATGCCTTAATGGTCATTTTTGTGAACTCCGGAGTGAATAGGCTAATATATTAATAATCTAACCCAGTGGCGGAGCCGGCTTCAAATTTGAGCCCGGGTCAAATTTTTTTTACGTGTATTTATTTTTTTTAATTTTAGTTAGTTCGTATCATAATCTATTTAAATTGGGAAAGAATCCGTTTATAAATTTTTTTTGTAAACTTTTGCAAATTATAATATATACTCTCGGAAGTACATAGTGTTACCTAGTGTACTTCCGAAAGTACATAGCGTAGTTTATAAGAGTTTATAAACAAAAAATTTGTAAATATAACCTCCATATTTAAATTATATTAAATATAGAGCACCTAAGCAGGCAGTACCAAGAAGAATTATAATTTTATTAAATATTTTTTTAATACAAGTGAAAATTGAACACATAACCTAATACAACTTACCCAAACCTCTTACCAAAAATATTATTTTTTAGATAAGATCAAAATACAAATTGTAGCCCGGGCCAAATTTAATTTTAACTCGGGCTAAATTATAATTAATTATATACTTACATATAATAAGTATAATTTATTAAAATTTAGCCCGAACCGGAGTCACACCGATGATATACCTGGTTCCGCCACTTATCTAACCATGATTTGGAGAGCTTAACTCATAAAAAGTTCAACAGAGGAACTGCAGAGAGAAGTTACTTAGAGCTTATTCCTTTATTAGTTGAATACAAAATTAAAAATGAAGCAATAATGTTAGAATGCCTTTTGTATTAAATGATATGTTGCACCGATATGGGACACGACACTCCGACACGTTAATTTTGAAAAATGTTATATTTCACATGTTTTGATATTAAATAATAATTTTAATTTATATAGTATATATTATATTTAATATTCAATAATTTAACAAAAAAAATAAAGTTAAATTTGTAATACTCATCAATTTTGCAAAGAAATATAAGATATCTCAAATATTTATATTAAACTTAATAAAATGGTAATCGTAATAGAACGAATCTTAAAATTAGAACTAAAAGCGCAACACAACGTAATTTTTGAACTTTTTTTTAGGTCTCTGCAACGCATGTTGAAGTGTCTAAGATTATCGGACACGAAACATGAAGTTTCTTGAATTACAGATTAAATGTACATATCAATCACGTAATTATATTAAAAAAATATACAATCATTAATGAGTTTTATAAGAGTTATGTTGTAAGAAAAGTGATTATGTAATGTTATAGAGATTCGTTTTGCGTCCATAAATTTTTTTTTTTTTGCTTCAAAAAATGTGAACTCCACAAAATATTATGTGTGTAAAAAATTTTCTTGTGTCATGTTAAATGATAAATACAAACCTCATCATTAATACAATCACTCGTATCAACTTAACTTTTTGAATTGAAATAATAATAGTTATAAAATAACAATTCATGGGGGCTTACAATCATGACCCACTTTCTATTACTAACGATTCCAATATAGCAACGTACGTGTTGGCGTTAATAAAAGGAGGTTGATTCCGAATAACCTCACCCAAAAAAGATATCAGTAAAATGGAGGTTCATAACAAATTTTGTCCGGCCATGGAACTGCAATGGTTTTTTTTTCTATTTTTTTTTTCAAATGCTACTTTTAAACTCTTGTTCTTAATTTTCCTTTTTCATTTGGATTAGTTTATTTTAAGCAAATAAGCACTAAACAGTTATTTTCCTTGAAAATAAGTTTTCCCAAACATGCTAATAAACTCCTAAATAGATCTAAAGCTTGAATACAAATGAGAATTTCACAAAGGCACCAAGTTCGGAAAGCCTTTAACCTGCCACATCCCACCAACCCCCTTATATATTAAATTTGGCAAAAAAAATACAAAATACAAAATATTTTTGTTGCCCATCAAATAAAAACCACAAAATCGTAAGAGTCTATTACTAATATTTTTTTTTTCAAAAAAATAACCGACAAGTCAATATATATATATATATATTTTAATTTCTGATTGTATGTGTGATATGTCACACTTTATGGAGTGACACCTAGCGTTATTCAACGTGGCGCTGCCACCTAACAAGTACAAATAAATGGCACCATGTTGCACTCCAATATCATACCACTTTATTCATAAGGGAACATGAAAAACGATACAGGTGAAAAGTTAAACAAACACACAACCATAAAACGTTTCTTTACATTTCAAATTTTAAGTTAATGTTGGTCCCATTCCATCCAATTAGCTTGACTACCAACTCGAGGTATACTGTTGACCCTTGCATACTTATCAACTTTGAAGTTGGCCCCACACATGGTCCCTTCACTGTCTATTCTAGGCATTGCCTTCAACTTGTTCATTGGATGCTCAAAGCTCATTAAACCTCCTTCACTGTGAAACATACACCCTGCATTGCAAAACAAACTTGTCATTCATCATAGCATAGATCTATACAATTATTTTATTACTTTCTTTCAAATGAATTTTTTGAATTTTCCAACCATCAATGTATTAACTAAAGCATTGTGACTTTTTTTTTTTTGGTACAGGTATCCCGTTCAACTTCTTCCGGTCACTTTGTCATCGGGGTACGGTCTTATAGGCTAGCTCCTTATTAGAATAGCGGGTGCATTGAGCTTCGTTACCGGAGGAAGGATGAGACTAATCCCTCACTCGAAAAGGAAGGCACATTCTCTGACCCTCAAAGATTTTTCAAGAATTTGCTTGAGGCAAGATTTGAATCTGACTCAAACAAACCCTTAGAATCTCAGTTGCCAACTGAGCTACCCTTGGGAGTTGCACTGTGACTCTTTTAAAAACCACTCCCCGTTAAACCTGACTAGCGAGTGTGGGACGGAAGCAATTCTTGTACGCGGCCTTACCCTTGCATAATTGTAAATAGACTGTTTCCTGAATTCAAACTCATGACCGTTCAGTCATGAAAGAACAACTTTACCACTGTTCCGGTTCGTCCTTTTTATTGTGACTCTTTTATGTTTAAAAAAATCTTGCAGAAAATATATTCTAATCAATGGTGGCAAAATGGTACCTGTTGGGAAGGGAGCAAAGGATTTGGCACAGCCCTCTTTTATAACATCTAGATCATCAGATATTACCACAGATCCATCAGCTGCAATACCCCAATAGAGTTTCACTCCACCATCAGAACCCTGAAACAAAGTTTTAACATCTTTTTGAAATAGAAGCACTTGAAAAGTAAAAGATGGGCAAAAGAAAACACCCATCATTGATTGTGTTGATGTAAGAAAGCTAGATGTTGGGAAAATGTCAAAAAGAAACATGGTTGAGATGTAGCTTTATCTTACTTACCAGTGCTGCAAAGACACTGCCAACCTTGCTGTCATAGACAACAAAGGCAAAGCTACCATCAAGATCCTTCACAACTTGATCTGCTGGGTAGGGACCACGGTCACGAAGTGTCTTATAAGCTTCAATCACAAACATGGCTTCATTGGTACCCCTTGACAAACCATACTGCTTTTTGAGTGAACACAGGTTGTTCAAGCTACCCAAAAAGAGGCAATATATGTCATCAAGCCCACAAAACAACCTGAAATCAAGATAAAGCAAGATTGTTCTGTGTTAAAGAAATAATAATATAAAACTGTTGATGGGTTTTCAGTTAACAACTTGAATGTTAGTAGATATGGTTGTTTATCATGATATTAGAACCTCTATGGTCATTGCTATTTTCTAGTAAAATTAAATCCAAAAGATGAGTATGTTAGTGATAAAATCATTGAAAGCCTATTATTTAGGGAATGGTTTCCTTCATATTTGTTTATAGCAAATAAAGAAGTAACGATATAATTAAGAAGGAGAATTACCTTTGATGAACAGAGAAAGGTTGATCAGGGCGAACATAAGCCAGAACAGCAGCATGACCAAAACTCAAAGAAAAAGTGTTATGAGGATGATGGGAAAGAAATTCTCTTAGAGTTTCCTCAGGAACCTTAGGCTTCTTTGTACCATTGTAAGATGCAGGACTGTTAAGCTCTTCAGGTGGGTGAGCAAAAGCCTTGTGAAAAATAGCTAACATTTTAGAAAGACTATAACTTTAGTTGCTAATTTTGTAGAGAGAAAAAAAAAAAATTAATGGAGGGATTTTCATGGGAAGATCAATGTAGTATTTATATTACAAGGGCTACCTAACATGGAAAGCGGACAAGAGAGTTGAGGGTGGTCGAGGTTGCTGAATCATCAAATTGTGGGCGTGGATCTAACTATCATGGATAAGATTCACACGAATTCCAAGCTATTCTTATCTTTACTTCTGATTTATTTTATTTTTATCCCACATGGGTCATTGTCACCTACTACCCAGATTCCAACCCTATTTGGCATTACCATGGGAACAGCTTACCTTGGGCTGAGCCCAAATTGTTATCCTAGCCCAAAGTCACTTAATTATGAAAGAAATAACCTAATTACTGTTTTTTTTTTTCGGCCTTCAGCTTTTGATTATTGTTCATTTTAAGATTATTGTTTTATGCTTTTCTCTTTAGTTAGTAGAATGAAATTACATGTAATATTATTTATTTATGCCTTCTAATGGATTTGATTAATCCGATTTTGAGTTTGAGTCTCTCCACTCTCTTCAAAAATTGTGACTTTTAGAAATTGAATTCATTAGCTTTCGTGATCTAGTTAAGTCGCCACCTGATCAATAACTCTTGGATAATGTTTTTTTTTTTTTTTAAAGGTTTCGTTTCACCACACTTAAATATGAAGTTAATTTCTACCTGAACAAGATTATCCCTTCTTAGAAGTTTATTTTTTTATTTTTTTAATCTAGCACTTACTTGCAATTATGAACTTTTCCTTTTTTGAATAAGATGAAGTGAGACCTTTGTTCATTAATAGGAATAATATTCAGCAATAGAAGTGACAACCTATTGAAATAGAGATAATTTCATAATTTATGCTAATTAGTGATGTTAACCAATTACTTAACAAATTATTCGGATTTGGATGATTTGGCACGGTGGCTTTTAGACTTATCGAAGAGATATAACTAAGACAGAAAGTCAGCATAGCCACTTTGCCACTTTATTTGTTCAAACCTGTGGGTGTGCAATTATGATAGCTTGTATTTTCTGTCATTTATGAGCTTCAGCACTTCAAGAATCATCACAGGGCAAACTATTTTAACTTTTTGTTTCCCTTACGGCTGGAAAGCATACCTTCTGACTGAGTAATTTGGATCGATGTTATAAAAACTGGATCGATCCGGCCGGGTCGATTTGAAAATTGGTGAACCGATCATGTAATTGGTTTGATTTTCATATTGAACCAGTCATGTTACAGAACCGGTGTGACCCGATCGGTTTAACCGCTGACCAGGCCCGATCTATAAAAAAAAAAACTAATTTATTTTCATAAATTAATGTCTTCTTTTTTTTACTCTCAAACACAAATAATTTGTTTTTTTTAAATATTTGAGTGATTTGTAGCTTATTAACTTACATAGATTATGTACCTACAACACTAATATGAGGTAGGATCCTTTGACACCGGTGTCAAATTTCAAATTTGACACCTCATCTGAGAGTCGTTGGATAAGAAAAGATCAATGATGCCACATGCTTACAAATCAGTGTCGTTGATCTTTTTTGATCTAACGACTCTAAGATGAGGTGTCAAACTTCAAATTTGACACCGGTGTCAAAGGATCCTGCCTCCACTAATATTATCTTGATTATGCAATATGCAGAAAATTTTGATTTGATTTATAGTTAGAGATGTCGTTTACTGAACCCGAAACTCTAGTATCACAAATATTATATCTTTGATTGATTTTTTGTTGGACAATGATGTATAATTTATTATTTTCATATTAAAATATTTGAAATTGGTATATTTTTTTACAAGTATTTAAGTATATTTATAGTTTTTTTAATATAAATTGTAGATTTACATATACCTACTGGGTCATGCGGTTGACCAGTGACCCACTGGTTGAACCAGTGACCTAGTACCTCGATCGGGTCAATAACCGGGCCGAGTTTAATAACATTGATTTGGTCGTTTTGTTTCTTTCTTTATTTTTTTTTAATAATGAGAGCAATGTTGTGAAAATTGGACCGGACTGACTAGGTCAACCCGAAACCCGGTGAATTGGTCATCTAATTGATTCGGTTATCACATTGGATCGGTCAAGTACCAGACCCGATGCAATCTGGTCGATTTTGGTGAAAAACGGTGACACGACCCAGGTTTTAAAAAAAAATATTTCAAAAAAAAAAGTTTTCCAAAAAAAAATCATGATTAACATATTTTTGTGATCTGTTATTTATTGACTTACATAAGTTATGTACCTGCAATACTAATATTATCTCAGTTATGCACTGTGTAGGAAATTTTGATTTGATTTATAGTTAAAGATATCGTTTACTGAACCTGAAATACGAATATCATAAAAATTATATGTTCATTTGATCTTTTATTGGACAATAATGTATAATTTTTTATTTCTTATATTAAATTATTTAGAATTTATATTATTTTTTTTAACTATTTGAGTATGTTTATAATTTTTTAATATAAATTATAAATTTATATATAATCACCGGGTTATGCGGTTGAATCAGTGACCCACTGGTTGCTTGAACCAGTGACCCGGTACCTCGACCGGGTCAATGTCCGGGACGGTTTTAATAACATTGAATGAGAGTATTAAAATAGACCAAGTCAAAACTAATAAAAATTAAATAAAGTTTTAATAGACCTAGCTCGGTTTAATGCTCATTAATTTGTAAATTAAAAATATCAAAATTAATTTCAATAAAATTATTAAATTTCTTTTCTTGAGTTTACTTAAATGTTTTTTCAAACAATATCCATCAAGTTTAAGAAACTATTAATTTTAAGTCCTTTGATTTTTTCAAATAAATTTTTTAAAATGTGCGATCCGGTCGATTTTGGTGAAAAACGGTGACACGGCCCGGGTTTTAAAAAAAAAATATTTCAAAAAAAAAGTTTTTCAAAAAAAAATCACGATTAACATATTTTTGTGATTTATTATCTATTGACTTACATAAGTTATGTACCTACAATACTAATATTATCTCAGTTATGCACCATATAGGAAATTTTGATTTGATTTATAGTTAAAGATGTCGTCTACTGAACCTGAAATATAAATATCATAAACATTATATGTTTGTTTGATCTTATATTGGACAATAATGTATATTTTTATTTTTTATATTAAAATATTTAAAATATTTATTATTTTTTTAACTATTTGAGTATGTTTATAATTTTTTAATATAAATTATAAATTTACATATAATCACTGAGTCATGCGGTTGCACCAGTGACCCGATACCTCGATCGGTTCAATGTTCGGCCGATTTTAATAACATTGAATGAGAGTATTAAAATAGGCCAAGTCAAAATTAATAAAAATTAAATAAAGTTTTAATAGACCTAGCTCGGTTTAATGCTCATTAATTTGTTAATTTAAAATATCAAAATTAATTTCATTAAATTTATTAAATTTCTTTTCTTGAGTTTACTTAAATGTTTTTTCAAACAATATCCATCAAGTTTAAGTAACTATTGATTTTAAGTCCTTTGATTTTTTTCACATAAATTTTTTAAAATATGTGATCCGGTCGATTTTGGTGAAAAACGGTGACACGGCCCGGGTTTTAAAAAAAATATTTAAAAAAAGAGTTTTCCAAAAAAAAAATCATGATTAACATATTTTTGTGATATGTTATTTATTGACTTACATAATTTATATACCTACAATACTAATATTATCTCAGTTATGCACCATGTAAGAAATTTTGATTTAATTTATAGTTAAAGATGTTGTTTACTGAACCTAAAATACCAATATCATAAACATTACATGTTTGTTTGATCCTTTATTTGTACAATAACGTATAATTTATTATTTTTATATTAAAATATTTTGAATTTATATTATTTTCTTTAACTATTTGAGTATGTTTATAATTTTTTAATATAAATTATAAATTTACATATAATCATCGGAGCATGCGGTTGAACCAGTGACCCGGTACCTTGATCGAGTCAATGTCTGGGCCGATTTTAATAACATTGAATGGGAGTATTAAAATAGGCCAAGTCAAAATTAATAAAAATTAAATAAAGTTTTAATAGACCTAGCTCGGTTTAATGCTCATTAATTTGTTAATTTAAAATATCAAAATTAATTTCATTAAATTTATTAAATTTCTTTTCTTGAGTTTACTTAAATGTTTTTTCAAACAATATCCATCAAGTTTAAGTAACTATTGATTTTAAGTCCTTTGACTTTTTTCACATAAATTTTTTAAAATATTTGATCCGGTCGATTTTGGTGAAAAACGGTGACACGGCCCGGGTTTTAAAAAAAATATTTAAAAAAAAAGTTTTCCAAAAAAAAAATCATGATTAACATATTTTTGTGATATGTTATTTATTGACTTACATAATTTATATACCTACAATACTAATATTATCTCAGTTATGCACCATGTAAGAAATTTTGATTTAATTTATAGTTAAAGATGTTGTTTACTGAACCTAAAATACCAATATCATAAACATTACATGTTTGTTTGATCCTTTATTTGTACAATAACGTATAATTTATTATTTTTATATTAAAATATTTTGAATTTATATTATTTTCTTTAACTATTTGAGTATGTTTATAATTTTTTAATATAAATTATAAATTTACATATAATCATCGGAGCATGCGGTTGAACCAGTGACCCGGTACCTTGATCGAGTCAACGTCCGGGCCGATTTTAATAACATTGAATGGGAGTATTAAAATAGGCCAAGTCAAAATTAATAAAAATTAAATAAAGTTTTAATAGACCTAGATCGGTTTAATGCTCATTAATTTGTAAATTAAAAATATCAAAATTAATTTCATTAAAATTATTAAATTTATTTTCTTGAGTTTACTTAAATGTTTTTTCAAACAATATCCATCAAGTATAAGTAACTATTAATTTTAAGTCCTTTGATTTTTATTAATATAAATTTTTTGAAATATTATTTTTTGCTTTAGATCCCTGATTAAGTAAAAGAAAGAGAAAGCGGGAATGTAATCAACCGGAATTATCTGTTGAATCTTTATCTTATTAATAGACCTACAATTTGTCTAAATATTAAAATTAACTTCTTATTTAATTGAAATCTCCTTCCATTCAATCTTTTATTGATGAATTTTTTAATTTCCTAA